CATCGTTTTCTCCCCACTACGGAGGCTCTTCTTGAAAGGAAGGTGGTTGTTCATCCTAGGTGCCTGGTTTGCTGTGGAGCGCCTGAAACTATGGAACATCTTTTCTTCGATTGTTGTGTGGCTCGTGCTTTGTGGATTCCGCTGGGTTAGAGCATATCGGTCAAGGCTTGCCTCGTTTCCCATTCCCCCTCTTTCTAAAGAAACTCTTGGCCATCATTATGGACCCTCCCCAGGTCATGGTGGTCGTGGCTGTGCTCTGGAGGATTTGGAAGTCTCGAAACTGGGTAGTCTTTGAGGGCAAACAGTTTGGGCTACCGATCCTTCTGCATCAGTATCACCAGCAGCTGTGGGAATGGACTTCTCTACCACAGGATGTGGTGGGGGGGTGGTGGTGGGGGGTGTGTCCCTGTGGGGGTTATCCCGATGGGGTCACTTGCTAGTCAGGGCACACTCATTTGTAGGTGGAATGGTGCTGTTAGGCTAGGATCTCACTTGGCCGGAGGAATGGTGCTGATGGGCTTGGACGGGGTGGTGGTGGGTGCGACTAGTGTATGCTTTCCTGGGATTGATGATCTGTTTCTTGTGGAGTTACTGGCTCTCCGGGAATGGTGCTAGTCAGGGCACACTCATTTGTAGGTGGAATGGTGCTGTTAGGCTAGGATCTCACTTGGCCGGAGGAATGGTGCTGATGGGCTTGGACGGGGTGGTGGTGGGTGCGACTGGTGTATGCTTTCCGGGGATTGATGATCTGTTGCTTGTGGAGTTACTGGCTCTCCGGGAAGCCATCCTTTGGTGTCGTAGTAGAGGGTTGTTCGTGGTTCGTTTTGAGGGGTTGCGAAAGTGGTTGTGGACAGGCTCAACAAGGCTTAGGGGAGTGATAGTACTGCGAGAGTTATCTTCCGTGAGGTGCTTGTTCATCCTAGGTGCCTGGTTTGCTGTGGAGCGCCTGAAACTATGGAACATCTTTTCTTCGATTGTTGTGTGGCTCGTGCTTTGTGGATTCCGCTGGGTTAGAGCATATCGGTCAAGGCTTGCCTCGTTTCCCATTCCCCCTCTTTCTAAAGAAACTCTTGGCCATCATTATGGACCCTCCCAGGTCATGGTGGTCGTGGCTGTGCTCTGGAGGATTTATGGAAGTCTCGAAGCTGGGTAGTCTTTGAGGGCAAACTGTTTGGGCTACCGATCCTTCTGCATCAGATCCACCAATCCAATCCACCAACCCATTAAAAATATCCACATAATCCAATCCATTTAAATCCAATCCATTTGATCCAAATCCAATTGGATTGGTGGATTCATGGATTGATCCATGGATCCAAATGACAAATTACGGTTTGGTACCTATATTTTTTATATTTTACATTTTAGTACCCAAAAATTTAATTTTTTATACGAAAAATATTGAGCCCACGTGAGCATTTAACTATATTGAGCCCACGTGAGCCTTGCATGGTAATGCTGACTTACCCTAGCACATATATGATTGATGACGTGTGATAGATTAGGGTTGTTAATTGTATATATATATGGTGTGATTGGGGTTCGGTAGCCTTTGAACTGAATTAGAGAAGAAGAACGCTTTGTGTCGTGGATTAGTCTTTATTTTTAAAACGTCAATGATACCACGTTAATTCGGTGTCGTTTATTTCAGTTTAGTTTTCATAACAATTCACGCATTGATATGTGTCATGAAACAACGATCAAACGTAAACCCAATCGAAAAATGCGACATAAACTAATTAAATTATTTTTATTATATTTTGATATTTTATATTATAATAACGCAAGTAAAGTAACCAAGGATGAAAAATTAATTTTTCCTTAATTACGTAAGGGTCATATCTCATATAGTAAGGTCCATGATAAGTTTTTCTAGAAATCAATTATTAGTTTTTTTTACAATCAAATTCACTTTAACAACAAACTGTCCCAAGCCACACAAAATGGAAAAGTTTCACCATAAGATTTAGGGTGACTACTATTTTTTAGTCAAACATTTGAGAATACGGAATATTGGTCAAATCTCTAATAAAACTATAAAATTATAGTTACTATCCATTAAATTTAATGTTAGTTTTAACATAATTTCACATGAGCTAATCGTTAGTCCACATATTTGAATGAAAATGACTATAATTTTGTATTTCTCAAAGGTTTGACTAATGTTTTTGAATTTATGAAAGATTGGCTAAAAATAGTTTTTACCCTCGGATTTATTCTTTTTACAAAACTATCTTAGTATTTATTTATTTCATAATACGAAAGATTTACATAAGCTTAAATTACTATTCCTTACTAAAAAGTTAAGGGTGCATTAAATTTGCTTCCTTTTTTTAGGGTATTGTTCACCTATATTTTTTTTATACGCTACACCTAATTTCAGCATAACTCTTTTTCCCACATGTTGTATATGCAATTATTTGTTTTCTATCTCCTACTCTCAATTTTATCATAAAGTTTTGTTTTTATTCCTTTAGACAACAATTACGTAAATTACAAATACCTTAGGTAATCTTATAGAAAAACAGTTATTTCTAATGTATCAATTCTAGAAAACATATAATATAAGACTTTGCAAGGACCAAGACAATTAGACAACATACAAACTTTTATTGAGGGAAATGTGTCAATTAACAAACATATTACTTAAGTCTTCCTGATATAAGTTTGAAAGAAAATTTCTGAATTGACTAAAATGACGATTTCTTCAATTTTCATTACAAAAGAATTTTGTAAGGAAAGTTACTATTCACATAATACTTTAATCAAATGTAATACTTTTTATAATTTAGTTCACTTATTAATAATATAAATTTATTTTTTAGTACCATATATATTCAACGTCGTATCAATTTGCATCATGCATATTAAAACTTATGGCAAAATAATTTAATCTTATACATTATATAGTTTAATCTAACTTGAATTTATTTCGAGACTACACATTAAGGAAGATTACGCAACCTCATTCTATCACAGTTATTAATCAAACAAATGTGTTATGTAAGTCTTTTACAACTATTCTTGCATCATGCATATTAAACTAAAACTATAGAACAACGTACATATTTACAGGACTACTTTCACAAACCCTTTCCCTCAAACAAGGTAAACTAATCCCAACCCAGGAAGTAAACAATAACTTTCTCAACAAGATACAATAAACTAATACGAATATCCTAAATAACCATATTAATCTAACAATTAACTAATAATAAGTCTCTAATTACTAAGCCCAGAATAGACCACCATGTCCAACGGGTGCTATAATACACCAAACCTTCCCATTTGAAGAACTTCGTCCGCGAAGTTCATGCGTTATCTCAATCCGGAACGATGTAGAAGAAGTTTCCCCATTGATTATTGATGACAATGAGCGGACGCTGGTGCAGCCTGCGCTTGCGATATTTCCCATTGCGCTCCACCAATTGCCAAAGCTCCTATCACCGAGGCAGCAGTGGGTGTATTGGCGGCAGATAGCTCGGGTAGCCAAGGGCTCGACGAGGAACTCGTAGTTTATGCCCATAGCGGCGGTGGCGTGTAATACCCTTGATGTCGAATGAAATCCACATAGCGACTTCAGCGCCACTTGACTCTGATACCAATTGGCGTGTGCTCGGAATTCACGCGTTGTGGATCTAGAACTCTTCTACGATAAACTAAGAAAACGCGATAAAACTACAAATTTTTTCTACCAAATAACTTTACTCTTCTTCATTCATTAAAACTATTGAAAAACTTACATATTTATAGAACTACTCTCACGAACCCTTTCCCTGGTAAACTAATCCCAATCCAAGAAGAAAAGGTTGAAGCTCTTTGTCGAAGAAGAGATTGGGGGAGTAGACGAAGGGGAGCAGCCGGTGGGTGTCTCAATTTTTATTTATATTAATTTAATTGTAATAATTTTAAATTAGAAAATATGTGTAAATTACGGATATTTTAATGATTTTTATGATGACCGGATGGTGACATAGCATGTTGATCGTTAGTAACCGCATTTGACCGTCCAAGATAACAGTCAAACATTGGGTTTGGCCAATGTCGTTATTTTTATGTATAGTTTGGGCCAGGATATTATAGATCGAAAAGATTGGGTAGAATGTATAATATGGTCAAATTCTAGGCCATACAAATATATTAACCCTTTATTTTTATTTGTGTTTTGAAGTTGCCTCTAAATTAAGATCGGTAGAATTTATGTCAAATTGTATTTTACTTAACAACTATGAGCATTATCATATACTAGTTTGCTGTCCGCGCTTCACTGCGGCAAGATATTAAATAATTTATAAATCTATATTTACTTATTTAAAGATGTAGTTGGAATTAAATAATAAAAAATAGTTTAGGTAAGATACACATTTGATATAAATGTTAACTTACCATACAAAACTTATGCGTAATACAAAATTATGAGATGATAAATGTTATAGATAATAATAAAGAAATTTTGGGTAATAGTAAAATAATTAAGTTATGAAAATTATAACATTTTATTAAAATGTTATGTAAACAGTAATCGACCTTACATAATCAAAATATCGTTGTCAGAAATAAATTATACTTGATGCTCAAAAGATGACGAAGTTTATTTGCGAGGTAGAATTTTTTTTATTGACATAGAAATGTCGTCTGAAATAAATAATTTTCTTCCTAAAATAACCTTTTACATTTTTTACGACAGTTATTCGTAGAAAAAAATTAGCAAATGGGATCGAATTTTCAATTCCGAAAATACCCTATGATTATTTCCGATGAGGATGTGTCGTCGGTAAAAACATTTTATCGGTGATAACATTATATATGATGGAAATCAATTCGTTAAGAATAGGAAATTTTCAATTCCAAAAATACCCTTTAGTCTTTTCTGATGAGGTTGGAGCCAATCGTCATAAATAAAATCAACATTTGGTACAATATACATTTATGGATACCTTATTATTTCATTTTAGTAGATTAATACCGAGATTATTGGTTAATTTATATACGAGGGAAGATAGTAATACTAAACTTTATTACATAATACACTATCTAATTTTTCTTACATAATACTTGTAATACATTATTCACATGATTGTACAAAGAATAAACTCAAACAAAGCCCATCTCTAAAAAAGCCCACATATACAAACTCTACCAAACGAAGCGCAAATCTACCAAACCATAGCAAAGTCCAACTGCAAATTCTATCAAACCCTAGCTGCCCCACTCATATGATAGTAAGTTTCTGCAAGAACTTCAACTTGCGAACCCAAGCTGGAAAACCTGTGTCGGTGGTGACGATAACAGGATCGAGTTTTTCGCCAAGTCATCGTCAATCACCTGGTACCTAAAGAAGGCCGTCAAGAACCCAAAAATCAGAGTATATAAAAACAAAATGTTCATTAAGATTTCATAACTAACCAATTTCATAATCAATCACACTCTGTGCGGGGGAAAAAGAAAAGCGAAATCCTTTAAGGCAGAAGGATGGATGCTTACAGTAGTTTGAGAACCCAAATTCTTGGTTCGGGTTTGAAACTGCTAGCAGTGAAAACCCAGAAACAGTTCGTCAAACTTGTCTTCCGCCGCCCCAGCATCACTCTCACCATCGCTCCGATTTCAAACACACTTCCTTCTTGCCGTCTTCAAATAGCATGTCCAGCCTTGATTCAAACAGCAAGTCATCCTCGCCGCTCACTACTGTTGCGGCTGAAAGGACGAGAGGGGAGAGTTTAGAAAGACTGAGGCGGCCTGCTGCTTTCCACTTGAGGGTTGAGAAGAGAGGTCTGTTCTTTAGGTTTGGGAAGGGGAAATGGAAAGGATGAAGGGGGGCGGCTGCTGCTTAAATGCTTTATAGGCCAGTCAATTATCACAAGCATCGAATCTTTTAAGTTTTCTTTTGATAGTTCTTAAATGCTTTAAATGTTGCAAAATGGAATAAGAATCGTCGTTTCACTGGTACCTACATTTTAAAAGTTTGCAAAGTGGTCCCATGAAAGTCTACAAAACAATACAAAAAATAAAGAGAGCCTTAGTGACTTTCCCTTCATAGAATTTGAGAAAATTTTGTTAGGGGAAAAACGAAGGAAAGAATGGAAAATTTCTATGTATAATATTTTATAAGTATGCATTATTGTATTATTTTATTATAAGTAAGAATGTATTATACCTGAACCAATCCAATCAGTAGAACAGAAATCATCCTTGGTGCCATAAAAACAGAAATCAGGAGAACGAATCCAATCAGCGAGACGCCCATTGTCAAAATCAAGCAATAGAACAAGAACACCGGGTTTAACGTAGTTTCCCTGATCAACAGGACTAGTCCACGGGAGAGCAAGCTCTCCAAGTCAATCTTATTCTCCTTGTTTACCAGCATACACGAGCCATATACATATATATAGAGGAATCATAAACCCTAAAGACTAAGGTCTTAATTTGTACAATTACATTTTTGGTACTTATATTTTCAACACCCTCCCTCAAATTGATGTTGGGTGCGTAACATCAATTTGGCTGATAAGTACCAATGTCTGCTTGAAGCTAATGCCTTAGTCAATAGGTCTGCAGTCTGATCATCTGTCGACAAATGATTTAGCTGAATTCTCCCTTCTGCTACAAGCTGTCTGATGTAGTGAATATGAACCTCTATATGTTTTGTTCTATCATGTAGTACTGGGTTGAGAGCTATTTGTATAGCACTTGTGTTGTCGCCAAACAGTTTCATGGGTATGCTGCACTCAACACCCAATTCTCCTAGCAAGCGCTGTAACCAAACCATTTCTGAGCTAACCTCTGACATAGATCGATATTCTGCTTCTGTCGATGATTTGGAAACTCGCTCTTGCTTCTTACACCTCCATGAGACAAATGAGTTTCCCACTTTGATGCACCATCCTGAAGTTGACCGCCTGGTATCCTGACACCCTGCATAGTCTGCATCTGCATATGCTTCCAAGACAGCATCTCCGCCTTCTGGAAAGAACATACCAACATCCTGAGTATGCTTGAGATATCTAAGTATTCTGTGCACTGCATCTCGGTGTTGTTCACGAGCCACACCCAAGTACTGGCTCACAACCTGCACAGAGTATGCAATATCTGGACGTGTATGAACCAGGTATATCAAGGTTCCCACGATACTGCGATACAAAGATTGGTCTTCCATCAAATCACCACTGTCCTTTCGCAGCTTAATATTTTGTTCCATTGGAGTAGAACAAGGCTTGCAGTCGGCATACTGTGCTGTCTCGAGAAGGTCTGCAATGTACTTCTTCTGAGAAACAAAGACACCTTTATTTGATCTCTCAACTTCCAATCCAAGGAAGTAGGATACATCACCCAAATCTTTCAGATTGAAGGCTTCGTGTAGAGAATCCTTCAACTCCTGAATTCCTGCTGAATCACTGCCTGAGATGATCATATCATCTACATAAATCAACAAAATAACCACACCTTCTGCTGTATTTCTCACAAACAAGGATGGATCATTCTGGCTCTGCTCAAACCCCAACTGTACAATAGTACTATGGAATTTTTCAAACCAAGCTCGTGGGGCTTGTTTAAGGCCATATAGAGAACGAACCAGCTGACAAACCATATTAGATGAACCCTTAGTGTATCCTGGTGGTCTCTCCATATATATGGTTTCTTTTAGGTCACCATGAAGAAATGCGTTCTTCACGTCTAACTGAAAAAGGGGCCAACCCTTCATTGCAGCCACAGCAAAAATTCAACGAACCGTTTGCATTTTAGCAACTGGTGCAAACGTTTCATCATAATCAATGCCATATTCTTGAAGAAAACCTCGAGCAACCAGCCGTGCCTTGAATCTTTCAATCGTTCCATCTGGATTCATCTTTATTGTATATATCCAACGACATCCAATTACAGACATACCGGGCTGTCTAAGAACCAGTTTCCACGTCCCATTTGCTTCCAAAGCCTGAGTCTCTTCCACCATTGCATAATTCCACCTAGGATCCATACATGCTTGTTCATACGTAGCTGGTACCATGCATGGCTCTGTAGCATATCCTTCATAGTCTAGTAAGCGCACTGGAGGCTTCCCCAAATTTGTTCGACTTGACCTTCTAGGTTGTGGTGGTGAATTAAGTTGCTGCCCATTCCCACCTTGCTGCCCAGAATTTCCTCCAAAGTCACCACTACTTTCTCCTGTCGAGCTACTCTCACCAAATGGAGAACTCGTGCCGCTAGTGCCGCTACTACCGGGAGACAAAGAGCTGTCCCTCCCTGACGACGAACCGTCCGTATCCGTTGTCGAGGAAGAGTTGGCCGAAGAACTATGGCCAGAAGAAGATGGCGGTGATGTCGGCGGCGTCCCTCCCTGAGTTCCCATTGCCGTGAGAGGAGGATCATTAACGCTAGGCAAGGTAGTCAACCAGGCCAAGCTATCAGCTGTGGGATGAGTCAAATCACGTTCGCCAGGCGTAGTAGAGTAATACATACTGTCTTCGAGAAAAAGAACATGATATGCAATCCGCATTCGTTTGCCAACTGGATCATAGCAACAGTAACCTTTATGGCGATCACTGTAGCCGAGGAACACACACTTAACCGTCTTTGGGGCAAGCTTATGACGGTCTTTTCGTGGCAATAATACAAAGCAGGTACAGCCAAACACACGTAGAAAGGAGTAATTCGGAGCTCGGGAATACAGGACCTGGTACGGAGAACACTGAGCGAGCACCGGAGTGATCTGACGATTGATGAGATACACAATCGTACGTACAGCTTCCACCCAATAACCACTAGGGACATGTGAGTAAAACAGTAATGCTCGTGTCAATTCCAGGACATGTCGGTGTTTACGCTCCACAAGACCATTCTGCTGAGACACTCCTGGACATGACATCTGAGGTAGAATACCTTCGGATTTATAAAACTCGAGCAATTCATGTTTAGTAAATTCACCACCTTCATCAGAACGAATTACTTTAATGGTCTTACCAAACTGTGTCTTAATGAGTTGTACAAACTCCTTAGCAATCGAGCATAATTCCGACTTTTGCCGCGGAAAGAACACCCAAGCATACCGCGTTTTATGATCGATAAACAGAGCAAAGTACTTAAAACCCAAACGCGAGGTAATCGGAGAGGGACCCCACAAATCCGTATGAACAAGATCAAACGGCTCAGCATAAATAGTCTCACTAGAAGAAAAAGAACTTTGAGAAGCCTTAGCTTCAATGCAGCTAACACAATCAGATCGAGACCCAAAAGCCGAATCAATTCTTCCTGGCAATAATTTCTGACGAAACATCGTTAACAATCGTGCAGAATGCAAATGGCCTAAACGACAATGCCATAAATCCCAAACAGACTTATTCTTTGAAAAATCAACCGAATTTACTGAGTTCCCGGACAAAGACCCAAAAACAGAATTCTTATATAGCTTTCCCTCCGACGGATTCGAAACAGCACCAGTAGCTTTAGGAACTTGACCAAGTTCATCCAACACATAGACTCGCCCTTGCTTACTTCCCTTCCCGATCACCATCCCCGTCCTCTGGTCCTGTACCACACAACCGGTTGAATTAAATGTAACATCACAACCAGTCTCAGCTAATTGCCCGACAGAGACGAGATTGGGCATTAAGTTGGGAACATATAATGTATCAGGTAGAGTAACTGAGCCCAAAGACGAAGTACCCCGACCAGCTACAGGAATCTGATCCCCATTAGCCACTCTCAAATGTAAAGTTGAAACCGGTTCGAGCTTATCAAACGTATGATGGGCATGTGTCATGTGATTAAACGCACCAGAGTCTAATAACCATTTAGCAGACTTACCAGAAAATGTGCCTGAGGCAAAGGCGGAGGTCAGCGCCTGTGGAAGCGCCTCTTGTAATGCCTCCTGGACCATTTTCCGGACAAGATCCGGGGAGAAGGAGGAGACTCCCCCACCAGCGGATGACCCTGAAACAGGTGGAGATGGCTCGGAGACAGCATACGCAGCCCCTTGAGTCTTTGACGAGGATCGGCCAGTCATAGAGGAGCTGCCGGACGACGTAGCATAAGTAGGAAATCGAACCTTGCCCCGTTTTGTGAGCGTGGGACACTCGAGCATGATGTGACCAGCCTTCTTGCAATAGTTGCAATAATTTCGCTTCTTACAATGGATTTGAATATGCCCAGGTTCATGACAATGATGACAGATCAACTCACCACTAGGAGGAGTGTTAAACTGTGGACGATGAGAGGAGCCTGAACGTCCAACCGCAAACGCTGAATCAGTAGTCTGATCAATACGAGACTGGCTTTTGAGCCTTGTTTCCTCCCGAACCAGCTCAGCAACAATGGAGTCAAGATCGGTGATACCCCGATGAATCAAGGATGCGCGAATTGGTTCGAACTCCGCCCGCAACTTCATTAAGAATTGCATGACACGCGTACGGGAGCGCTCCTTCAGAACCTCAGTCGAGGCATCACCAGACAATAACGACGCAGTAACCAGGTCAGATTCAGTCCATAAATGAAGCGCATGTTTATAATAACTGCGCACATCCCGATCTCCTTGAGCTAACCCCGCAAGCTCCAACTCAATTTCATAAAGACGAGAGGGATCAGCCTGCGAGTACGTTCCACAGATATGGGTCCACATCTCATGGGCAGTGCGGAACCGACGGAGACTCAACGCAGTTGGAACATCAACAGAATCCAATAACGCAGTGACGACTTGAGCGTTGGAGGCAGCCCAGTCGACCTTTGCCTGCGCATCGACGGTGTCAGCCGGTTTCTTCCATTCGCCCGTCAAAATCGTGGACAACCGCCGCCCTTCCACAAAGTTACGGAAGTGAAATTCCCATAATGGAAAATTCTTTCCATCAAACTTAACCGAAACATTGTCTTGCTTTTGAGAAGCCATTCTTAGCAGCTGAACCTAGAAGCAGTAATACCAAGAAACACAAACTTAAGAGTATCGCACCTATCAAACACGGAAGAAAGCCAACGCTGAGAGTGAACGATCGCCGGCCACCAAACGCGAAACCCAAACAGAAATCCTAGCTTCCGAACTGAGAAACCCTAGCTGCCGAACCGAGGTCACAAACCTTGCCGAAGAAGAAATAATCAGTCCTTGAATCAGAGCGGCTCTGATACCATGTCAAAATCAAGCAATAGAACAAGAACACCGGGTTTAACGTGGTTTCCCTGATCAACAGGACTAGTCCACGGGAGAGCAAGCTCTCCAAGTCAATCTTATTCTCCTTGTTTACCAGCATACACGAGCCATATACATATATATATAGAGGAATCATAAACCCTAAAGACTAAGGTCTTAATTTGTACAATTACATTTTTGGTACTTATATTTTCAACACCCATGACTCCCAGTCGTCGAGTGAATAATATAATTCACGTCATAGCAACTACCATGAAAGTTGTACATAAACCTTATGGTAAAAGTTCAATTGAGTTTGTACCTATACTATAATGGTCAAATTGAACTTGTACATATACCTTATGGTACAAGTTCAAATAAATACACCTATACCTTTTTGTACAAATTGAGTTGAACTTATTCGTATACCTTATGGTAAAAGTTCAGTTGAACTTGTTCATATACCTTAGTGGTCAAATTGAGCTTGTCCATGTACGCTAATGGTGAAATTGGACTTGCACATATACGTTAATGGTCAAATTGAACTTGTACATGTACCTTATGGTAAAATTTCAATTGAACTTGTACATGTACCTTAATGGTCTAATTGAACTTGAACGTATACCTTATGGTACAAGTTCAAAATTGTTTTGTACCTATACTATATTTATTGTACAAATGGTATTTGATTTGGATTTTGAGTCAATAGATTTATGGATCAATGAAGTTAAAAAAGTCCCACGTGATTAAGTCAACAATATTTTTGGTTATAGGTGGCATCGGTGAAGTATGTTGTCTTTCATTTCGAGGCACAAGTTCAATTCTTGATAAGAGAAATTTTTTCTAATAATAAGAATAAAACGGAAAAAAGTGCGAAAGTCGACGCTTTGGTTTAGCGGAATGAACCGATCAGTCCATTATGGCTATAATAAGATTGGGAAATATGATATCCATTTTTAAACGTTACTAAATAGTAATGGTAGATTTAAATTTTTCAAAATATAAGTTAGTCTGATTGGTGTTAAATCAATGTTGTAAATTTAAGGTATCTGGTTCAATCCACCTTGATGTAAGTTTTTTTAGTTTTCCATTAGTAACTAGTAACACAAACATGAAAGTTGACACACAACAACATAGTGCAATTGGTGTGTACTCATCACTGTAAACTCATGGTTAATGGTTCATTCCTCCAAACATGCAAAATAATTTGTACATTATACATTATTCGTCAGAAATTATCACCTCTTACTAAAACATTGGTAATCTTAACATGTTATTTCTGACAACCAATGATTTGGTCTTAAGAACTTATATATGATAACATTATCTCCCACGAATATATACTTCTCCTGACAAATACTATGGTGATTATGACGATAACGGTGATGCATTGCAACGTACATTTATTACTACCAAATTTTTCGACGACTAGTAATTGATAGTCGAAAAATGTAGAGTTTTTCTTATGGAAATAGATATTCCTAATAAATAATATAATTTCCAATGAAACAGGTTCGTAAAAAAAAAAAAACTTGAGTATTCCCACAAACTTTTTTGGTGGGTCGAAAAAAGCATATATTAATGACGCCATTTTTTCACATTTTCAGTAATAATAATTATTTTCAACGATATAGCAGGCTTCGTCACAAATAGGTACTCACTATTCCTCCAATTTGCCTAAATTATTATTTCCAACGGGTTTTCTAATAATTTATGACGCAAACAATTTATTATCATAAATAATAATTTTTCTTCCAACAAAATGTCCATTTCGTTGAAAATAATTCTTATTTCTCACAAAAAAATAGTGTCGTCGGTAGGTTTTCGTCACAACTGTCTGTCTTTTTTGTAGTGATATAAGGAATGACAATCTATCCAATATCCATAACCATATGCTTTGTCTATTGTATTAATCATTACTAAAACTTATATAATGCATTTTACTAATAATCCGCCCGCGCTTTGCTGCGGGATACGTTTGACTTGTGTAATCTTTAGTTGTCGTAACGCAAAACCGACGCAGAGTCGAGGAGAGCGTACACATAGAATCGTTGTTTCACTGGTACCTACATTTTAAAAGTTTGCAAAGTGGTCCCATGAAAGTCTACAAAACAATACAAAAAATAAAGGGAGCCTTAGTGACTTTCCCTTCATAGAATTTGAGAAATTTTGTTAGGGGAAAAACGAAGGAAAGAATGGAAAATTTCTATGTATAATATTTTATAAGTATGCATTAT